TCCAAAGCATTATATCAGGGTCCAAGGAGATGACTCAGTAGAATAAGTGCTTGCCTGGCAAGCGCAAGGGCCTGAGTTTAATCCCCTGTTCCGCCAGGAAAAACAAAAACAAAACAACAAAGCATTATACCAGTTTCCAGTGCCACCCATGAGTGTCACTGTTCTGTGTGTGTTTGCTGGGGATTTCATCCAAGACCTTTGCACTGAGCCCTTAGTTCTCCAGACAGGGTTCAAATTTGCAGTCCCCTACCTCAGCCTCCTAGAGTGCTGGGGTTATAAGCATGTCCCACCATATTCAGCTCCTCAGTGGTTTTTTTGAGACAGCCTAGCTATGTAGTTCAGACTGGCCCTGCACTCACTGTGTAGCCCAGGCTGGCCTCAGATTTGTGGTGATCCTTCTGCCTTAGCCTCATGAGTATTGGGATCACAGGTATATGCTACTGTGCAGGCTCCTTTCTCTTTCTTTTTTTCAGTACCGGGAATTGAACTCAGGACCCTGCGCTTGCCAGGCAAGCGCTTATTCTTCTGAGCTATCTCCCTGGCCCTCTTTCTTTTGAGATAGGGTTTTGCTAAGCAGTTCTGGCTGGCCTTGAACTCACTCTGTAGCCCAAGCTGGCCTTAAATTTGCAGTAATCCTCCTGTCTCAGCCTTCTGAGTACTTTGATTACAAGCATGTGCCACCATGCCCAGCACTCACTGTTCTGTTCTGTTCTTTTATTTCCCTTCCTTCCTTTCCTTCCTCCCTCCTTCCTTCTTTCCTTCCTTTCATTCTTTTTTGATACAGGGTCTCACTTTGCAGTCCAGGCTGGCTCTGTGCTCACTTTTGTAGCCCCTAGGCTGGTCTTGAACTTGCAGTGATCCTCCTGTCTCAGCTTCCCCAGTGCTGGGATTATAGGTGTGCACCACCATGCTGTTTCTGGGGCTAGCCAGGCGAGCCTGAGGGTTCTGGGGCCAGCACAGCATGTGGTACCAACTTGGGACCTTGCACTTGCCAGTCAGGTGCTTAGACCACCATGCTATCTTCCCACCTCCTCACTGTTCTTAATAGTCCACATTATTTCCAAAGTTTTGGGCCTATGAATATTTTATTATTTATTTATTTTGTATTTTAGAGAAGGGTCTACAGTGTGTTCAGGGTCTCACTACTAGATTGGACTCGTAGTGATCTGCCTGCTTACACCCTCCCAAGTGCTTGCTTCAGCAGCACATATATTAAAAAGTATACAGCCTCCCAAGTGCTGGGATTACAGGCGCGCACCACCACGCCCAGTCTCAAGTGCTACCCAGAGCACCCCAGGGGCGGGGCCTGCACAGCAGGCCCAAGGATCAAAGCCTGACTCCTGTGCCTGCTTGCAGGCGCTTTAATCTGCTGAGCTATTTGGCTAGCCCAATTTATTTATTTATTTATTTATTTATTTATTTATTTATTTTTGTGCCAGGGGTTGAACTTAGGACCTTGGGCCAGGGAGATAGCTCAGTAGAATAAGTGCTTGCCTGGCAAGTGCAGGGTCCCGAGTTCAATCCCCAGTACTGAAAAAAAAAGAAAAAGAAAAAAAATGAACTTAGGACTTTGCCAGGTAGGTATATTCACCTGAGCTATCTGCCTGGCCCTCCTGTGAATATTTTAAACAACTTACTCCAAAGACCCATTTTAAAGTCAAAAGTCAGGTCATGACACATTCCTTCTCAGAACCCTCCTAACAGATTTATAATAGATCGTGATCAATCTCCTTGCTTCCTCTCACAAACTGGCCTCAATATTGTGCGTGCTCTCTCTCTCTCTCTCTCTCTCTCTCTCTCTCTCTCTCTCTC